AATTAACTTTTATTTTGGGGCAATACTCTTAAGAACAGCAGTCTGTGTTTGTCCAGATTGTGACTTTTTAAAGTGAAAGTTTTTTCTATGTATCATTTTCCCCTAACCAAATATTAGATGAAGAAGACAAATGAGATTAAAGCATATGAGGCTAAAAATGTTGATAATGTAGATATACCAAGTGTATGCATCTCCTTCACAATACACATCTTTTTTTAATTGTTTGGGAAGGATTTTCCTTTATGTGCAATCAGTAGTTGTGAGTATTAATAGCTGTTGAATCGTATTATTTCTTAATTCTGGAAGGAAATTAGCTGTGCTGTATTGATGTAGCTGTTCTTTCTACCAGTCCTTCAGGGTGGCTTAATTAATTAATGTTAGATAATATAATTTTTTTTCATTCTCAAAGATCCTGATACTGCTAAAGATTTTAATTAGCTCTCAATTAATAAAAGTGTATACATGCATGCAAGTGTGTTACAGCCTGCATGTATAAACAAATTCATCTTTCAGAGGGGTTTTATTGTTTATCTCAAACACTGGTTGAAAAAACGTGAAAAGAACCAGTAGCTCTGTCATGCCTAGTGTTAGGGAAACCTTATTTCCTATAGATTAGGGTCTTGAAGTTGGTTGACTTTAATGTTTTTTTTTTTTTAAATAAGTAAGCAGCAATTGTAAGGGTTTGTTTTGTTTTGTTTTGTTTTTCCCCTGTGAATGAGATATTCAGAAGCTCTTCATCTCACTGGAATCTGTGGTGTCTAATAAGGAGCAGTCTCACAATGTGGGTTTGCACAGTGGAAAAATTAAGAGGCTTCCATTTTTTTCCAGCTGCATGCATGATCACAAAACATGTATGAACTTAATTATCCTTGAGAACTATTACCTACCCGTTTGTGAAAGTGGTTTGAAAATGCCTAATGGCTTCAAATGTTGGAAAGGAGAAGTCAGGAGAAAAGGAGAGAACAAGGGCAACAACACCCTTTGCGTGTGTGCAGAATAATTGATGTGAGTGCATAGATCTCCTTTCCTTAAGATACCAGGTGTAGAAGGGGTAGACAAAGAATGGAATGGGGAAACTATCAGAGGTCTGGAAGAGGAAAGGTCATGTGGTCAGGTAAGTGTGCTGTGGAGCTATAAAGATGTTTTATGTGGCTGTTGCAAAGGAAGAGAATCATGAGGAAGTTTTGAAGGAAGAACAAATAAATTACAAGAGAAATTGAGTGAAAAAGGTTCCACAAATAGGGAATGTATGTTGGAAAAGGTCTTGGAAATGACTGAGTGGTGAGATAAGGGGACACTGAGGTCAATGCCACAGCAGGAAGTGGGGCAACATATGGCCCCAGTCCAAGGCAGTTCCTTAGTTCTTGTTTAACTTAATGAGCACTGAACTGGACAGCATATGTGTTGAAAATTGCTGTTGTTCTCAGGGACTTTGCTTTACTGGAGCCATAGGAGGTACCTTCAAGGAGACTTGAAGGTCCAAGGGACTGCGAAAGATGTAGCTTTGAAAGAAAAGAGTAGAAATTGTAAGCTGATGGAAATGGCTCAGCCAAGCCAAGGAAATAATTTTTTAGAAGTACAGAGAAGTGGTCTAATTAAACAGGGAACTCCTTTTACTTCGTGTGTTTCTGATGCCTTGGGATGTAAACTGTTTTTAGCAGCCACTTTAAAAGTTATGGTTTATGTAGACTTTATTTGCATTTATATATATCCTTTCATCCGTGCACAGTCAATAATATTGTGCTGTATTAAAATTACAATCAGTGGATATCAGTGAAGAGGTTTTTTGTTAGATTGCTGTTTCACACTGTCTTTTATGAAATCCAGTGATCCTACAATGAAGTTTCTGTTGATATTTTGGTTGAAACTGCTGGCATGGTGTTATACAGTCTTGCTGGACTTTCACTGTTGAAATTGAGGCTTGTAATACCAAAATACATTTCCTTTGGTAGTAAATATTTAAAGAGGCCCTTACCATTTCCCTAGCTGCTTATGCAGTAGTGGCTATATAGTTGTGTGTGCAGATTACCTCCTGGAAAGTGGTCTGAGCTGGGAAGGAGGAGGAAAGGGAATTGCAATTTTACTGCTCCGGTTTGCAGCAATACCCCAGAGAGGCACTGACAGAAACTGATGTGAGGGAGTCAGTTTATGAGCTATAGAGACCTACAGAGGAGGCAGCTCAAGGACCTTTTACTTTTTCTGCAGGAGCAAAGTCTATATAACGTGGACCTGTCTCCTTATCTTTCCAAGTTGTGAAGCACTTTTCAAAATATTACATATTTGTTATTAATTTTTAGTAGTCGTCTCCCTCCTGCTGGTACCCTTGCTGCCTGCTTCACATGCCATTTTCAGTAAATCTTCACTGTGTAAACTTCAATGTAACAAAAATAAGTAATGTCTCAAGTCCCCTTGCCTATTCTTTCATGTCAACAAAGTTTATTTGGGGCATTTCTAACGATCTTCACTAAGAGCAACGACAGTAAAAATGCAATTATTTTCCTCATGAACCATGAAACCAAACTAAATTGTAAAAGTATGAGGGAAGATGGTGTGGTATTATAAGCCAAAGCCTACCGTGCGATTTTGTTTAGAGAAATGCTGGAGGCTTTGAAGTGTCAAATAGATTCCAGTTGTGTAATTTGAGGTTCAAATTGTATTAACATCCATACTTAAAATAAAATAATACCATTTGCTGGCTCGATTCCATTCATCTTCAATAAAAGTGAGTCCATAAATGAACATGACCTTTGTAAATGAAGGTTTCAGGTAAATTTCAGAACCTTAACAGTTACAATTGTGAAAAGAAAAATATCAGTGGTTTTGTACATCTTGGCTAATGTACTTTTTAGAACACAAGTATGGTTCATAACCAAGCAGTTCAGTTACCTTTTATCCTTTAATATATATTCCACCCCTCAAGACAGGGGAGGTTTAGGTTAGAGATTAGGAGAAAGTTTTTCACCCAAAGGGTGGTGGCACACTGGAACAGGTTGCCCAGGGAGGTCGTGGATGCCCCATCCCTGGAGGCATTCAAGGCCAGGCTGGATGTGGCTCTGAGCAGCCTGGTTTAGTGGTTGGCGGCCCTGCATATGGTGGGGGGGTTGAAACTAGATGATCACTATGGTCCTTTTCAACCCAGGCCATTCTATGATTCTATGATTCTATGAATATGCTCATGTCTCCTGAACTTCAGTAGCACTCTGTGCATGTGTCTGTGGGTAGGCTTGCTGTAGTATGTACCTACTGTACAGTTAACATATACTGCATAAAACCTGGACTTTGAATTGTGATATATGTCTGTGTCAAATAGCTTTTGTAAGGCACCTTTTGGAACTTACTCACCTGCTGTCTACTAAGTTCTCACTCTCTTCTTGCTTTTATGTTTCTTAAACTCTGCCTAGTTTCCAATTACTGTATTTTTATTTTAAAAATAATTTACTGCTTTTCTTCCTAGAAAATATGGGCAGAAAGTACATGTTGTTGTATGATGTATTACATCAAATTAAAGCTGCTGGACTTGAGTACGCACCTCAAAATTCATTCTGTCTTATGAACCATCAGGACTGGATTGGGAGCCCTGGAAAAGAAAGAGGGCATTAGAAGAAGCATATGGAGATAGCGAAGTGTACATGGGTTTATTAATGGACAATTCCAAATCTGCCTGCACTAAGATGTCAGCAATTCTGTATGTGGAAAAGAAACTTAGAAAACTATTTAGAACCAGGAGAACTATATTTGTAGTTATCATTTAGACGTGCTTATAGCACAGTTCTTTGTACTGGAAACTTTAGCCTTAAATGAGGAAAGCATAATACCAACCAGTGCTGTAGAACTCTTAAAGGTTATACAAATATATATGCTCTAAGATGTGATGAAAAAAAGCAATTGGGGAAGTGACTGGTCACCCAGCTTAATTTAAAGGCAACCACACTTAAAGTATAGTTTTGAGATCTTGGCACATTGCATGATCTATTGTTAGTTTATTCAGACATGACAATCCTTGTGGTTCTTTGCCACCTTTTTTTTTGTTTTGAATGTTTGAAGCAGATATATTAGGGAGAAACACCATCTTTGCAATGCTAATAATGCCCATAAAAACCTCATTTGCAGCCCTGATGAAGTAAAAATGTTGACTTCTCTTGGAGAAAATACCAGTCCTGCCTAGTGTTTGGCTACTTGTTCCATATAGAAAATAGTCCAAGTTGAGTTGATAGTTTAACACAGATTTGTACTACAGAAATCAGATGACTGCCAGCCTCACTAACCAAATGGATTTTAGCAGTGCTTCTAGAAAACAAGCAAGCTTCTAGGTAGGCAAGCATTTTAAACTTTAAGTTTTAAAGTATAGGATGCACGCAGCTGGTGTTTCTAAATGCTGAATTATACATTAAATTTGACTAAGCACTTCTGATTGAAGCACAGTTTGGGTGGATGTTAGGTTGTGCCTCCAGTTAAGCCTTTGCAGCTGCTTCTGAGCATCTCTGTCTCTAAATGCTATTCCCTCCTTTGGATAAAGATTTTACTTCTTCTGAGTCTCTCCAGTACTTTTAGCAAATATGAGATCAGGTCCCAAGAATCCCAGTGAATCAGCCAAATGCTTTTCTGATCTGATTCACATCTGGACACCATTCATATCACAGGTGGAAGAGGTGCTTCTGGTTGCCTTTATGAAGGTATTCCCAAACAAATGCAGAAGGCAAGGTGGGCTTTTTTCTGGGGGAGTAAAGGCAGTCCAGAAATAAACTGGAAGGCTGTGAGAAGTAATGCTTTTATAAATGGAATTTCTTGAAGAGGAACTTAAAAACTGCAAAACCAAAGAGAAATGAACATTTTCCACATATATGTATCCTGTATTTTACAATTTTAGTAGTACATTTTGTGTATTCTGTGATTTTAATATCTCTAAAGCCAATGTGTATTGAGCACATTGTACACCAGTAAAGCAAATGGACATATGCTAGTACTATTCAACATTTTTTTTCTTCTTTTTTTTTTTTTAGATCACCTTTTGCTGCTGTCACAGATTACTCAGTAACAAGAAATAATGTCATACAGCTCTGTCTGGAACTAACAACAATAGTACAACAGGTATGAGACCATCTGCTTAGCAGTTTATTTTCTCATAAATTGTAAATGGCCAGTGCCTTCTTCAGACAATTTTTTGTTACTCTATCTATATCACTGTCTAACAAAAATAAGGGAATTTTAGTATTTAGTGAATGCTTTATAAAAATTTTGCTTCCTGGTTTTATAATACTACTTTGGGTTGTGCTGTGTATATGCTTCTGCGTATCTCAGTAGCAAGATTATCCTTGAGTTCTCTAGTCTAATATCATCACTGTATATTTGTGAAATCTACTTGGTAATTTGCGTAATTAATTTCTTATATTTTGTCTTTGATTTTTAATTGTAGGGTTCAAAAGGTCTGTATGTACTGGAGTTTAGTCATCTGCTCTTTCATACAATTCATATCCTCTAGACACCTGTTAAGACGACACAAATGCACATGAGGCTAGAATATTTAGTATATATTTTTGTACATCCTACCTTCAAGGAATCCAGAAGTAGGTACTAAGAAGCACTTGCTTAACGGGCTTCATCTGGGAGTCCAATCTAGAGAACCTTCCTCACCCTTCTGTTGTTTCTCTGTGTGTGGTTCAGGTCTGTCCCCATCTTTGCCTGTTGTTCTGCTGAAACTGAAAATTTTCTTTAAATCTTTATATTTTTATATTAATACCAGTTTATGTGAAAGTAACCTAGGAAGTTAAAGTAGTCCAGTTCAGTGTCATCACTTACCCTCATGCATGCATTTCCGAGACTAGTCTGCTACTGATGACTGTGAAGGGCCTTGATACCATCTTATACCATCAGATGAGCATACGGTGCAGTGGTGCCCATCATGTGGAGGGAAAAGAGTCCAGAGAGAGTTGCCTCTCCTGGCAGTTCAGCAACAGCAGAGGGAAGGGGCCACTGCTGCCAAACAGACCTTCAAAGCAGTGTTTTCACTTGAGAAGACAGAGTGTAGAAGAAGGGAGAGAGTGAGCTAGGTAGGAGCACTGAGAAGACTTTTTCTGGTTTTCAGAAACGTCACTCCAAACCGAGAAAAGCTAAACTTCTCCTGTGGCCTCTCCTCATGACTTTTTATGATGATACTCTCCCTTTTATAGAAGAAATACATTTTTCTCTGACCCTTTCATAAATGTGTCCAACTAACTGACTATTAGTTCAGTTTGCCTCCCACCTGAGTTTGAGAAGAGCAGTATTGCTAGTCTCATGTGTTCAAGCTTGGGAAATTAAGGTTTCTCACTTTTCTATATTATTATTAATAATAATAATTTTCCCTCAATTATGTGTGGGGTTTTTGATGTGGAAATGTAGCATGCATGGGCTGTTCGCTCCCCACAGGCCACACAGTCCCAAGGGCTGAGGGGTGCCCCACCAGTCCTTCAGCCCCCCCGCGCTCCCCACCAGTCTTCTCGCCATCACCCCGCCTCAAACTGGGACAGAGGTGCCAGTGGTGGTGGCTGTGGAAGAAGAGCTCAAGCCTTTTTTTTGCTGCCTTTTGCATGATGCATATTTTTTATCTATTCTCCTGTGGCTTGTTGTGCCCTTGTTAAGCTGTGAGAAGGGGTCAGTACTCTGGGAAAAGGGGACATAGAGGGCATCCCTTCCCTTTGGCCAGACTGCTCACTTTCCACTGAAGTAGCTGTGCCTCACTGTCTGTTTTTTTTAATTGAGGGGAAGACCCACCTGATCCATTTTCATGTGCCCACTAGTAGTGAGAAAGTGGATAGAATAGCAACCGCTGCAGTGTTTCCCAGGAATTAGCTCAATGTTGGTTCATTTTCTTACGAATTCATCCCTATCCATGATACTGCTAATTCACTATGGTGTAGGTAAATATTTCTCTATGTGTATTTTTCAGTGTGAATGAGAGCAAATATTACTATTTAATACCTTTGGAGAACAGCAGTTTTATCTTCACCAAAACTGACATGATTCCCCAATCAGAAAGTAGTTCAGTATATGAATCCATACTTTGAAGTCAAAAGGAGCATTTATGTGCCTAAATTTAAGCATGCTCTGAAATTGAATTGGGTTGTAGTCGGAAGAATGATAATGAAAAATTCCATTACTAGTCCCAAACACATGTGGTTTGATCTCTACTTAAAACAAATGCATTCCAGCATAGCATTTCAAAATGTCTTCGCTGAGCTTTTCTTTTATATGATCACTGAACACAATGAAACTCCTCATTGTGCTTTCCTAGGGGTGTAAATTGAATGTTTCAGTATCACCTTATTAGGTGTTTTTTCTGTCTGAGAATGCATTTTGTTTTGTATGCAAAGTACTTTATAATACTTCACTAACTTACAATAATTTATAATTTAATTAAATTTTTGTTGTTTGTTTGTGAAAGACCTACAGAAGGCAATGTTACAATTGGTCTTGTAACAGTAGCTAACAACAGATTTTCATAAAGCTTAATGGTTTATTAAAAAAGTCTACATTTTCTTATAGCTTTGACTTTTTTTTTTTAAGACATTCATACAATTTAAAAATAGAACTCCAGCTTTTAACTCAGTAACTGAGCACTGGCAGGACTGAAAACTAGGGGGTTTTTTTGGTTAAGTTACAGACAACGTTCAGATTTATTAACCAAAAAAATGATTCTTTAGTCAAGATGGAGGATTAAAAGCTAAAATTAATCTGGCTTCTTGAATTATTTGCATGTTTTGAGGCTAAAAGTGATGTCAGTGTTTCTTCATAGAATTAAGAGTTGTTGGGTTCCCTCCCCCAATTATCAATGCTAAACGGATAACGAGGAAAAGAAATGACCGAATTATGGCTCTTTAAGTATGAAGCCTAAGAAAATCTACTGGTTGTCTGTGCTTTAACCTTTAAATAATTAGAAAAGTTGGAGTTATAATACCTACTTATACACAGGCTTTGGAATAAAATGCAGAATGGCACATACTTTGCTTTAACCATTTCATTTTCTATGCGTGTTGCACATTGCCCAGGACCCAACTAGCAGGCCAGTGTGCAGTGGATATTTGCCAGTGGAATCAGGTCCCCCAGAGCACTGCAAGTTATTATTGTAACCTGCTTTGCGTTCACACTAATCATTTGCTTCTATGCAGCTGTTTTATTTTGGCTTAGGGATTTTTTTTCTCCTCCCTTAGGACTTCAGGATATTGTTTCATAGGAACTTCCTGCAGGTTTTCACTCTTAATACCATCCTCCTTGCTGATGGCTTGTTTAATTCAGGGCTTGCATTCTTGTTTCATTTTTATAATCAACTCTTCCCTTGCAGCAGAACACTGTAGGAAAAAAAAAAAAAAAAGGATTTAAATAACAAACAAAGCCAGAAGACTGTGGTGATTTTTGCTACTATTCCTTTGCATTCTCTGCCTTTCTCTCCTACACCTCTCCATAGGAGCATCCCACAGGAATCAGAGGCTGAGCATTATCTGTACTCTCTGTTTACACTTAAATAAGTAAAAAAGGCCTGTTCCTTCTTGATGGAACAAGATAGGTGTTAAAGGGATGTAAGTGTACAGGTTGAGGGGAACGTGTGTGAGATTGTTTTGGGTTGTGCTTTTTTCCCCTTTTGGTTCATTCATGAATTTAGATTTGCATCAGCAGAAGTGTTCCGATCACAAATGCATTGAGGAAGAATGTGAGTGACTCCTTGTATTTACGATGTTCATTAAAGTCTTGCTGGTGACTTCACTAGTTGGGTCCTCAGCTTCAGAGTGTGCCAGGAACTGGTCCTCTTAAGTGTGCTTGTTTCTTTTAGAAAGGTACCAGTAGCTACAATGATAACTGTAAGGAGTACAAGATTTATTTCTTTCTTAGGCAAGCTAGGTAGCTTTTATTATCATTCTCAATACCCTTATTCCTCAGGAGCCCATTAAGGTTTCACTGAAGAAGCTTTCTTCTTTAGAATTAAAACACTGTAAATCTTGGGAATATCTGAAAAGTCTAATTTTATATTGACTTTGTAAGTTATCAGACATTTAAAGAAAACTTTACTGCTGAACACCGTAGTTCTTGTTGCTTTTTAGCAGTGATCATTAGCAGCGCTCATCAGGTTTCTTACTTTCCTTAATCAGATTTCACAATGATTTGCTGTGTTTATTTAGTTTTAAAACCACTCATGTTTATCTCGCAGCTTTAATGTCTTGTGGGATTTACTTAGCAAGATGTTCCAGTAGAAGCATAGCTATAGGCCTGCAAATGCTTCTTTATAAAAGCTTCACTGCAATTACTTCTCTGCTTAAACACCTTTTCAAAAAGGGACTGTGTGGTGGAAGCAATTCTGATTAACGTGGTGTTTTGCCAATCAATGAGGCTGCCACAAAGGACACAGGCACCAAATTAAGGAAGTAAGCTTATTTTTACTTATGTTAAAACTGATAAAATAATGAGAAAAATAATACAGTGAAAATAAATTAAAGCAAGATAAGGTAAAGCAGCAAAGTAATAAGCGAACTACTATAGCAAGCAGAAAGTAAGGTAATGCACCTAATCATCACTACATAGAGTTAGTGATAGTGATTAAGAAAGATACACCACCAATTGCCCTAATAATACATTACCATCATCCAGATCTGCATTCGCTGGGGAGCTTGGTTGCAGGGGAGATTTAGAGAACCCTTCCCTGCAATTGGGAAATCTCTATACAGTGGGTCCTCTGTATAGATGAGGCTTCCAAATTTCCCTGAAAACATTCCCCACTGTTATACAGTTGAATAAACAACTTTCTGTCTTAAACTGTGAAAAACATCTGGTGTGGTTTTCTCCTTGTTAACTTCCATCTTGAGCCTGGCTGGGGCAGGAGAGGGGAAATAACAAGAACAAAAGAATCTACTAATCTTGATTGTGTATCTCTCAACAAAGCTTGTCATGACTTGCCACATTCCTTTACCATCTGTGGCGATAGGGCACAATCTGTGCTTAATTCTGGCTACTGTTACACAATTTGCATCTTTCTGCTGACGAACCTTACACAGCAAGTGTTACAGCAAAGGTCTGTTAGCGTTACAACAAAACTTTTATAAATCGGCATATATTAATATGGT